GATGGATGGATGATGGATGGATGGATGGATGGATGGATGGATGGATGGATGGATGGATGGATGCTTTCCAGGCATGTATTGGAATGCAGCAGTTCTCAGCTCCCTTCCCGCTCCAGCTCTGGGTGTGCAGGCTGGCTGAGCACTTCTAGATCTCCCCTCCTAAAATCAAGCAATCTTTCAGCTGATGGTTTAAAACAGCAGATCTGGCCCAGTTTAAAAAGCCCAGCTTTGGGGCCTTTCAGGCAGCTGGCCCCTACCATCAGTCCTGTAGGGCAGGCAGCACCTCCTGATGTCTCAGAGAGGGCTGAGAGAGTGGAACTCTGAAGAGAACAGACCAGCAGACCCAGCCTAGCAAACAGCCTTTACCCAGCTCAAGGCTCCATTGAAACATGCATTATTTTAATCACACAAAATTGAGGCTGAGGGGAGAGAAACTGCAGCTGGAGGTGGTCTGTGGTAAACAGGCCTGTGAATGACCTCCCCAGTTTACCATAAACTCAAACAGTTATGAAGAAATAAGCCTGGAGCAGCCCAGTCCTCCCCTCTGTGCCTCCCCTCCTGCCGTAGGGGTCAGCATCAGCACAGCTCCAGCAGTCACCAACTGTGAATCAGGATCCCACCAAAAACAAGACAGACTTCACGTGTGTCCCTGTCACCCTGGAATGAATCAACCTAAAAACCTCATGGAAGTGCAAACCCAGCAGAGAAGGAAAGAGAATCAGGCAATTTATTCCTGCTAGGAGGGAGAAAGCTGCTTGGAGACACCGCTCCTCCTGTAAACAACCTGCTGCCTCTGGCTGCCGGCGAGTCCTCGTGTCGTGATCACCCCTTGTGCTCCTCACCCACAGTCTCCCTTTTGCTGTTAGTTTCAGGTTCCTGTTTTGCATCCAGCACATTTGAACTAGCAGAGAACACGTCGGGATTTGCGTTTAGACAAACTATTTAAGGCTCATAATTGTGCACTTGGTGTGATTTCTTTCCTGTGATGGGTAGAAAAGGTCTGTGATACAATGGTACACTCGATGCCTCACAAGGACGGCCATTACAACTGTATTCCAAAGGTTTGATGTTTTGCTGGTTTTGTTATACTGCTTGATATACATCTTGAATAAAGTCTTAATCTTTTCTTTATTAAAAAAAAAAAAGAACAAAAAACAAAACCAAACATCTTTAGTCTGTTCAATGTATCTGGCAGGCCAGAAGAATCACTTTGATTGCTGTATTATTTTTATCTGAATTCTGGCTGACTGTATATAGATGTATTCACTAAGTGCTGCATGTCCTTCAGAACTTTCTGTATCATGAACTGGAAAAAGAACAAAATACAGCTACTGAACACTCTGAGTAACTAGTGAATTCATTGCAATGCTACAGCCTTGTACAGCAAACCATCTCTGCTACACAGGCAGCTCTGGGGCTGATCACCAGGGACTCTGCTCAAAAATGGGATCAGGGAATGCTTTAAAGTACTGCTTTCATACACTCTGGAGTATCAGCTTTGCAGAGAAAATATCTGATCCAAGCCTTAGCAAAAACAGGGTCTAGTTGGTCTGCTCACTCCAAACATACCTCATTATTAACCTTTGGGGTTGTTCCATTTATGTGTGAGCAGGAATGTGCAGTATGAGGTCTATTTACACTTAAAGGAAAAAACAAGAAATTACTCTGATGTTGTGCAGGACACAAAGAATAGATTCTACTACTCAAAAACCAACAGAGGACACAAAATGTGAGTCCTATAATGA